TTGGTTCAGTTTCTGATCACTAGCATCCTGATCCTAAAAAGCTGCATAGGTGTGAGGAATTACAGCACTGGAGGACCATTTTGTGTAAGTTGCAGGAAATCTCCAGGTCACCTAAGGCTCCGCTTTCACCAGGGGGAATGATGTTGGGCATTCAGAAATGTTTTTCTAATTCCATGGCCACAGGAGCAAGCCTGCTGAATGACCGCCAGCTGCCAGAATGATACCTGCACCTCCACTCCCATCACAATGTTATTTTCTCTGCGCACTCACCATGCTTATTACCATATACCTGGTCTCTCTCCAGCTGTCCTCATACAGCAATTTTAATTCCTCTTTGCACTACTAACCTGGGGTGAGGCCTCGGTCCTTGATTTGGAAGAACTGATCCAGGAGCCCAATGGCTTTAATAGGCCTTGCTTTCCCCTCCAACACGAACACCTTAATAGGTTGTGCTGCCGCTGGATTTTCCATCAGCACATACTGTGCCCCTATTCCATTTCAATCTTGCACTCACCATATTTTCTGAGCATTTCAAATGATCTTGAGGCAACCACAGCAAAACGATAGACTGTGAAAGCAAAGAGGTCCTGGATCTCCTAAGTAGGCCAGATTTGTCAGAATGCTATGCTATTTATTTCAGAAAAGAGAAAGAAATTTTCTATTTCCCTCCAAAGGAGCCGACCCGAACAGAAGATACCATGCCAGTCCTTAGCCCTGCGCAGCTGCATAAGAACTAGGTAGGTGCTAGGAGTGAACAGAAACAGTATTTACAAAAAAATAAATAAAAGGAAAGGGTGTGGAGGGAGAGGTAAGAACCTGAGAGGACAAAAGTAGCAAATTGTCCAAGAACTGGAAGTTAAAAGTTCCTTTCCAGACAAGCACCCTCATCTTTTACGAAGTCCCCACTCCATAGCTACAGCAGAGAAGATGGTGGGGTGAAAAAGCACGCCATCCACACAGGACAAAAGGAGGCTTTGCCTGAGTTTCTGATAATGTACAGGCAGGGCTTCTCACCCTTATGGCTGCAACCATTTATTTCTAGGGTCACTGGTTCTGAAAGAGATTACTGCCGAGTCAAAGAGGAGCCCTGGAAAATACTCTGTTCAATTCCTTTTCAATGAGACTATTGCCAAGTATATGAAGAATGAACTTCAAAGTAGCAGGGAATAGCAGCAGAAGGGTAAATAATAAGGAGGATGTATGGATCTACCTGAAAGGCAGTAACAATATACAGTGTGGGAGAAAGACTCTTCCTTGTTATTTGTCCACAGACACCAACAGAAATTTTGGAGATTAAAATAAGACAGAATATTTACAAGGAGAGGCGCATGAAGTTCGATGAAGTTCTGCTAATAGATGTAACCTTACAGTTAGTCTGTAATTTTCAAACGTTTTGTGATGTAAAGATACAACAGCCAGCATGAAAAATAAAAAGTTATTAAAAAACACCAAAAAAATAAATGTCAATAAAAACTTGGTAGAGTATATAACACATCCACCTGAAATGTCTTGCTCTTTGGAAAGAGTACTTCCATTTCTAAAGGCTCATTGTGTCCTGACCAAGCCCTCTGTTTTAATTTTTAGAAACCTGTTAGCATCCTAAAACCAAGCTGAACATAGTATGAAACAAATTTTCTTGAAAACAAGTGGTAATTGTCAGCACCCAACAACAAAGACCTTACTGGTGATACTTATCGTACCTTTTTTCCCCTACCAAGACACATGTTCAATAATAATAATTTTTCAAAAACAAAGAACTGTGCCTTTTTTTTTTAAAAAAAAAATTGAGCTCTGCTCTGACTCCTTCAAAGCCAAAATTTTACAGTCAGCTGTAACTATACGGTGATAAACACAAATTTGCTATAACCGACTAATTTTTCTACTGAGCTCCTCACCTGTTCCAGTTCTCAGGGCTGTTGTTTCAGACCTGGACGGTGACTCATCAAAACATAATAGATGTTTAAACAGAACTCACACAGGCACACTTGTGTGTGTTTATTTATGTTCAAGGGTAGTAAGCAATTTTTCATAAATAAATGGCTGGGGGTTGTTTTCCCTCTCAAAAGAAGGAAATAGCCAAGTGATGGATGGCAGTGCTGGATGTATTACCCAAGGCAATGATCCCCATTCTGCTCGGGAAGTGCCTTCTGCCCTGTGGAGAGAAGCCATCGCTGAAATCTGGCTTCTGGAGATTCGTGTGGCTTTCGCTGTCAGAGGATGTCATTAATGCTGATTGCTGCCCCCATGCCTCTGGTGAAAGCCTGGCATCCTCCTCTACAGCAGTGAGTGAGCCAACACCAGCCAGCCTCAAAGAAATGGGAGGGAAAGCAAACATATTGCGAGAGCTATATTACCTCCTAAGTGTGGATGATGTTTTTAATTTCTAATGATAACTGGATGAATATAAGAGCAAAATTTTACAACAGTGATGTGGAGTAAGATGTTTCCCCAGAAAATACCAGAACTATATCAGAGCAAGGGGTGGTCTAACCTCCTGCCCTATGCCTGCAGGCAATAACCACATCCTCCTCTGAACACAGAGTACATAGAAATAAGCCACAAGAGGACCAAAATCCTCAAATGACAGCACTGCCAGAGGGAATTGCATGCCACCTACTCCCAAACTGAGACAAGCCTAAAAGAACAACCTAGCTAGTACTGCGGGCATTTCAGCTCCATGGTGGGAATCACGCTCTTCCACCCATTTCAGTGGCATCTCTTAAAAATCAGCTTTTACCACTGATATGTTGGGGAGTGAGGGAGGTGCAGAGCCAGGCAGCGATAGCGTAGCTGGTATTAAACACTTGAAATACCCACCCATCCTCCTGACACTCCCCTCCTCCCATGAAGGCAAGAGTATCTCCAAAACATTAAAAAGCACAATGGAAAAGATGACTCCTGTGGGTTGCTTTTAGAAAAAATTAATCCACTAGCCTGGGTGTTACCATCTGCACCCGAGAAGTGTATCACCACCGGATTGGCTTGGCCGGTATTTCCTGGCAAGGCTAGAGACGGGATTTAGATTACCAAATCAGTGAGGTTTATTTGCTCGATTTCTTGGAGAAAATTTTAACACCAAATTCAAAATTCACAGTGTGCGGTAGAAAAATGTTGCCCACAATAGAGCTTCCAGAAAAGCAATTTTGCAGGCCAGGAAAAAGCAAGTGTCAGTACTGGCAGTCATATGCTTGCTTCTCTTCCTTGTGGAGAGCCATTATGCAGTGTTTTCTAAAATTGTAAATGTACTTTCTGGCTCACAATGGGAAACAACACTAATATGCATCACAGGGTGTGAGATAAAATGTGCAGTGCTATTGTTGCCTTTGATTTGTCTCCCATTTATATCAGCTCTCAGTAAGAATTACACAAAGACAGAGCTGCAGATTTTTCTTCTCAACTTTTTCACATTTCATCCTTTGTTTGGTTCATAAATTCTAGCGTCTAACTAGGATGTTACATCAGAGACAGTAATTTACATTTAGATAACATAATGTGAAGAATACTAACAACCATAATCCTCCCCCCTCCAAACAGCTCCAGAGTACTTCCCAACTGACCTCAGCTTTGTAAAACAGGGATCTGGCGTATTTGCATTAAGCTGAACATTTATTTCTCTTTCTCCAGTAACCTAACATTCAGGGGTTTTTTTTGTTCATTTTGTTTGTTTGTCTCCCCGTCCCCCTCCCCCTCTTAATTTTAGTGAGTCTTGCTCCCTGTGCTGCCCTTGACATAGTCTCTAGCTATGAAGATGGCTCCGGTTTGTAGTCTAGGAAAAGACCCTGAGCACAGTGGGGTAGTGTGCTAACTATAAGAGGAAGGCCACTTTGTTTCTTGTGAGTTACCTAAGAAAACAGGTATCAGACACTCCCAAGAACAGCTCTGTGATTGCAGTACACTTAAGAGAGACAGCTTTTCTTCTTCAGCACCTTACACAGGACTCACTAGTCCTGGGCAAACAAAAAGCCAGCAATGAGCATTAGAGCCACAGTAAATCATCTGGAGAAGTATCAGTCAGCTTCATCACCTCTGACATCTACCATCGTGACACCCAGGTCCAGCGATTTACCAGATTTGCAGATCAGTCTAGGTGGAAGGGACAAGTACAGGGAACTTTTCTGTCTCCCAAACAGCTTTATTTCTAATAGTGCTTCCCCTTATACAAGCTCATTCCCACTGTTTGAAGAGGTCCATCCTGGTGTTACTGGCCACTCTGGCAACTTCATAAGTAGGAGAATGAGGGATCAGAAATTTACTCTGTGTTTCACACGTATTGGAGACTTATTTGTATCAAAATAAAGTAAATTAAAATGGCAAGTTAGACCAAGGCTGACTTAGCACTGTTACATTAGGTGGAAATTGGAGCAGCTAATTTGGAAAGCTTAGGCACATTTTTTTCCTCAATCATCTTGCCTTTGCTCCAAATTACTGAAGATTCCTCCAAGTCCTGTTATATCTGGAGGCACCAAATAGAAACTGAAGGCCAGAAACACAAACCACATAATACAGAGTCTGAACAAAAGTCTTTAAGAAAAAAAGGTGGCAGGGGGGTGAAATGAAACTTTCAGTTTTGTCTCAATATGTTTCTTAACAGAGAATATGCTTTCAAAAGGACCAAGATTTTTTTCCCTTTAGCACTGGAGATCACATCCCCTCTCTCCATCAAACACTCTTTTAACACAGAGGTTGTTCTAGATGGCAGCAGACATAGGTCAGTATTTTCAAAACTAGGTGACTAACATTAGGAAGCTCTTTAAAATGGGGTTTAGATTCTGATTTTCAAAAGCTCTGAGAGCCCAGCAGCTCCAGCTGGCTTCAAAGGGTCTTCCTTCATAAGGTGTTTGGAATGTACTCAGCATTTTTGAAAATCAGGCCACCTATTTGGGATCCTAAACGCAGACTTAAAAATTCAATGCCAATTCTCATTGCACTAAGGATCACACCACCTCTCTAACCCGTGCTTAGAAAGCTCAGTGACATTATAACTAACAATATGGCTTTTGCCTTCTTTTTCTCACAACAGAATTTACAGAACTGCTAATAAAACCAGTGTCTATAATGAAAACTGTCAGACTCTTGAGCCTAACAAGATAACTATAATTTTCCTTGAAGCTATTGAGCAGGTCTATAACATCTCCCAAAATCCTCTTAATGGCTAACACAGGTTCTTTTACAATTAGGCGTCCTGAAGGTCAACCAGAATACAGCAGCCAGTGCTGGGGGGTACTCGGAAATACCACTTGCCATACAGAAGTACTGCAATCCATGCTGGCACTGCATGGTACTGGTACTGCAGTACTGAGCCCTTCTGTAATGCCATCCCCCTGCTATGGGGTGCCAGAAAATTTAAAGGCTTATACTTGGGACTGTAGCACCAAAGTCGAGACCTCTACCAATTAAGGCAGAAGAGAATAATTGTATTAGCAGTTGATAGCAGCAGACTTTCGTCCTGCTAAAGGAGGATGACACATGCACACATTAAAAGCATTTCCTCAAGCTACATTCCTTCGGATTGCTGGATTTGGACCATGTTTTATGATTTATTCATAACAAAGAGCTTCTTAGTACATGAACTTGTAGCTGCCCAAAGCCTCTTCATTATACAGCTTTCAACTATTCTGGTAAAAAAAAAAAAAAAAAAGGAAAGAAAGAAATTAATATAGTGGTTCCAACCTTAGGTAGAGCTTTTGCCAGCACACAGCACGAGGATCAGAATTATCAGAATTAGAAGCTACAGATGTGCACTATTTCTCATGGTCCAGGTCTACAAATATTTGTACGTCAGTGTAAGGATTGTCACTGCCCACAGTCTCCACAAATGTCTCGGTGTGTGTTACTTTCATGGGAACTACTGAAGCTTTCAAAAGAATGCAAAGAGTGCTAATCCCCTGGTGCAAGTGACTTCAGCCTTGACAGACATTTTCCCAGAGTCACAGATAAAACTGAAGGATTCAGCCGTAAAGGATTAGGAGTGGTGTCACCTAGAATTAAGTCACTGGCCTTGAACCACGTTTTTGTTCAGCCTTATCAATAGCAAATTTCACAATCTTAAAACCAAGGTTTACTGAGTTTCTTTAAATATATGTATCTCTCTCTTGATTTTCTGAGTAAGTTTAAAGGTCTAGACAATTCACATTATATTGTTTTAGAGTTTCCATTTTTTACTACACTTCAGTGCACTAAAAACCATCAATCTGACAGTCTGAGGAGACTCAACCAACTTCTTTTCACAACTATGCACAGGATGTTTCTTGTGTATGTTAGGAAAGCAAGAAAACAAAAACACTTTGCATGGCTCTTTTCACATAGAAGCTATTTTAAATACTACAGAACCTAAAAGGGGAGGGCCTGTTAAATAGAAAATAGGTGGTCTTTGACTAAAGATTTACAGTTCACAGCAAATCTAGATAAATATCTTAGCTACCCTGTTATTCTGATGTAAGCACCTAAAAGATGTCCCTACGTGAGATGTGCTTTAAATTAGAAATCTGCGGCCTCTCAGTTATCAGGTGTAAGACTTTATTTGGGGTGGTAGGGAAAAAATAAGTCTTGTGTCTTAATGGCTTGTTTCAGTTCACGCTGAGTATCTGTGACAACAATGAGCACTGAGTGAAAATCTTACGAGGGTCCTAAGCAGAGTACCATTAATCCTCAGCCTGGTAAAACCTGCTGTAATTTGGGAGTATTGTGCAAAGCTAACTCTGACATAGTACTGTGCACTGCAAGTTGATGAGAAATTTGCATGGCAGAGGCTAATCTGCATTTACACATGATAGCCACAGTTTTAGGGTTTGTTCAAGGAATATGGTCTTGCAAAAATGCAACAACTGAATAACAGAAAACCCTTCTTAAGCCTCAAACATATCCCAAACATGGGGAAGGGGGAGGAAAGGGTAAGCCTCCATGTCATGCCATGTTGTGCAGCACCTCGCAGAAGTTTTGGCTGCTTTGCCTCCCATCGTGAAAGCCTGTGAAAGCTCCTGGCTCAGGTTGGAGCCCAACCGGGCAGTCGGCAACAGCCCCGACACAGTGCCAAAGCCACCACTGCTACTGCATCCCGCAGGCAGTGGGTGGTCCTGCTGCACAGGGGAAATGACTTGAAAGGCACATGTGGAGTTGATCAAAATATTTCTAAAAAACCCTTTTCCTGAATCAAATTACTTTTTTTTTTTTGGTTGTTTTCCCTTCAAAAGAACAGACAGTTTTATGGGAAATGTCACGTTTTCAGCGAGTCATACAAACGAACGTAGCCTGAGAAGCCCAAGATTTCCAGACAAATGTTGCTGGCTCTTGCCAAAACCATGATCTGCAGCTATCACATTTCTGCTAAAAAAAAAAAAAAAATTAAAAAGGAAAAAAAACCCCTCCCAAATTTAAAAGGAAATGAGTTTTGATTCTGTAAAAAGTTTTCATGGAGGGAGGAATAGGAGAGAAGTGCTTCTGACGGGCTATAGCAGGAAGCACCTATGAGTGTGTGTATTCGTCATTTATGCAACAAGTATTTCTGGCAGAACTAAGCGAGCTAGTCTTTAACCAGCAGGAGCTGGAGGAAGCCTGCTGGTCACAGATGATACGTGTATAAGACAGCACTACAACTGCGTTAGAAATCCAGGAAACGGATGTTCCAAGTAGGCTGATAAGCATTCAAAGCCATGAAATTTAGGCTGTGCATTCCTTGGGTAGAGACAGTCATGTATGTTGCACTGCACAATATTACCAGTTCAAGTTTAGGAACTGCGTTGCATGCTATATGGCCATAATGATTAATGATGATAGTAACCATACTAATGGTTGAAAAGATCCTGCTTATCCTTCTGCATGTTCCCTGTCAGCAAAATTCTTTAGTTAGGGTTTCATTTTCTTAATACAGTAGTAATTAATAATTCAAGAGACAACTTAATAGTGGACCAATTATGGTACAATAGAAAGTATAATGAAAATAGACCCAAATTAAAGCTTGCTAAGTTCCATTTACCAACTCTTCACTCTCATGGCACGTTTGCTATAGCAAGCTTAAAAGTTCAGATTCATTTTATTCCTGCGTGTTCTCTGGTTTACTAACTCTGAATTGATACAGCTCCTTCCACAGCCCAAACACAAAAGAACTCTGCAAATACTTGCAAGAAACAATGAGGACTCCAGGTGACATAGATCACGTACTGTACACAGAATTACTTTCCCTAGAGTGAGCCCACGTAGCAGCATTTTGTGACATTCATCATTAAAGTTCAGTCCTTGGAGTGCTGCCATTGTGGTCATGCGCAGCCAGCTCTCTGCTGATAGAGAGGAGCTTATAACCAAAGGCCATCCCTCCCGAGGGCAGTGCAAAAGTGATTTGAATATCAGGCCTCAGGAAAGGTTGTTTTTCTATTCTTAGCTGGTTTTATTTCAAACAGCCTTTCAAGGGCTGCTAGTGGGCCAATCAGTTTAAGAGTGTGAATGTTTATAGCAACAAAACTGTGGTCTCCAGAAACTAGAAACCAGTGAAATGTGGAAAAAGAGTTGCCTTTTTGCCAAAACAAAGTTCCTGGTAATATACAGTGTTGAATCAAAGACAAAGCATTTTGCAGAAACACAGAACTTGCACAGACGTTGTCACAAAGGCTTTGGGGGCTGCTGGGTGGCAGCCTCTCTGGGGTCCTCAGCCACCCTGGGTCAGCACAGCCAAGGCTGGACCAGCCTCCTGTCACTTCCTCCAGCTTCTCTACGGATGTATCCTCCCAGCTCTGATTCATTCTCCATGTGGGGACACATATCACCATCTGCAGGGCTGCTCACTGAGTGACTGGGGAGCCCCTGCTGCTTCAGGCAATGCCTCCTCAGCAATTCCCAGCAGCATTGCAGCGAGAGGACAAGTGAAACAGTAATTGCGGAGCGTGCCTGGCAATTTGTACCTGCTGCAGTTGCTCTCGAAGGGTTAGAGCTCACTCCTTCACTTCCAAAGCTTGCAGGAGGCCTGACTACTTCAAGCTGTCAGACAGGACAGGGATACAGTAAAGCATGGAGCACCTTCAAGTGATGCAATTTCATTCTGCATATGCATCCTTTGGGTCCTGGGGTCTTTGCCCAAAGACTCTTCCACCACCCAGACAATTAAGAGAAGGTGAAAAATACCAGATAAATGGCATTTCTTAGCAATTGTAATGAACAAAGTATATAACCAGCTTCTGTAAAAGCAGACTTTGAAATGCCACTGGCTTGCTTCGTTTTGAGCACGTTCCCAGGGAGAATGTCAGGTCGCGTAACTCATTTATCTTTACACAGAGGAGCTCCACTAAACACCAGCCATCATAAAAATACTAACATTCCTTTTTGTGGAAAACAAATATAAAAGAAAAACGCAGCATCTCTCTTAAAAAAAAAAAAAAAAAAAAAAAAACCAGTTAGCACTTCAAAGCTTACCACATGGTCTGTAAATAGCAATGTCAGTACACAGGGGAGCTGCACTCCTCTTTGTTTAACAACAGCCTGAGTTACTCAGATGGAGGTAGCAATGTTAGAGGCCTTCCCTGTGACACAAAACTACATCGTGCATTCATCTAGATTCACTCTTTGCATTTTATTTCCCTTGATGGCTTAAAAAATACCAAGAATTGGAATAGCATAAGAACAGCATTTCAATCTAGCCTTATATAAAGCACTGCTCTCCTCTGGGCAGTGTGCACCCAGCAACACCTACGTTATATGTACCATGAAGGGGAGTGTCAGGGAGAAAAGTGCAGTAATTGAGGTCACGTCCTCTGCATTTGTGAAGAAACCCCCTCCCACATTTTTCCATCATCCAGACACTTCAATGTATTTACAGCTAGCCATTTTAATTATATCCAAATATTTATCTCCCAAGTGCCTAAATGAGTAGGTATTTAATTCTCGTGATGCAAACACCTGATGGCTGGGTGCTCTCATTTGCCTGTAAATGCAAAACATAAGCCACTGAATTGAATTATGTGGCAAATGTCCGCAGGTACCTGAGGTACCCGACATCCCACACAAAATCTGTGCTTCACATGCTT